AGATACTGCTGGATCAATTTGATTATATAAAAAGTATTTTTTTAATAGTTTCGCTGCATCAAGTGCTTGTTTGATGCTTGGTGGAGGGACAGGATCGTCTTCTTCAACAACGTACACAGCTGCAGTTCTTATCTATTTCGGCAACTTAGAAAGTACTGCTCAATGATTTATAATGCCGCATTGTTGTCGTTAAATAGAGTGAGCGTGACGCTATATAGAGTGTAATATTGTATAGAAAACAATGTAAACCAACCAAAGTCAAGCGATTTCGACGTTTTAACGAGTTTGTCGTTAAATCGAGTGACGTTATAAAGAGTTTACACTGTAGTTGGTAATGGTAATAGTCAGAAAAGACAAATTGATTTTGGAAAAGTGTTAACTGAGGGCCTAAAGTTTTCAAAAATTTTAGTAATCTTAATCCTAGCTAGGGTATCAATGCGAGCAAATCCGCTGGTAAAATCTAGTTTATTATAGGTACAATTACAAAGACGTTCCTTGATTTGTCTTTCAGACAAGATGGCTCACTAAACATGTCAGTCAATTTAGTTTCATGAATGACTTCTCTAAAACTTTTCAAACGTAAAACAAAACATAACGAATGTAAAAATTACCAGAGCAGTACAAAGTGCAAATTTTGAAAAAACATTTAGAGTAACTCATATTTCAGTCAGCAGCAGTACACATACGTAACGTAGTAATAAAAATTTAATTTGTTTTTCGAAAATAGTTTGAGACACTATCAAAACATACGTACTACAGTAGTAACAGACTAACAGATGTTATTTATATACCAATAAGTACGTTCAAAACTTATTTATTCATAAAAGAGAAACTAAAACAATATTCCTTTCTGTATGAAGATTGGAAAAACTTAGTTTTAAACTAGTTTTAAACTAAGTTTACTTCAGTCCCTGAAGAAGGTAACTTTGTTACCGAAAAGTGCTTCGGACAACTACAGTGTCGTGTTTTGGCGTTGGGGTTTTGAGCTTTTCTGTTTGTTCTATTCTTTTCTGTGTTTTGCAACACTGCCTACAGAGGCAAAGTCACTACGTAATTCGATAGGACTAATTATTAAAAATCATACTTTTCGCATAATATCACGAATAAGTAAAAAAGTATCTAAAGTACAATGACTTCCATCCCCTTTTTATATTAGTATTTAATACTTAGGGTCATCAGGGGTACAAATAACACAAATATAACTTATTTATATTTGCTTCTACAGTTTTGGTTGTCTATCAAAAGCAATACGTAACAATCAATCAATCAGTGATCTTAAAAATATACCCGAATAATAGCAATCAACCTTGTTTCGTCATTTACAATCGGTTGATTGGACGTTAACTCTGGCTACCTAGAGGAGTAAAAATACGCACAATTAGACTTGACCCAAATGAAGCGCCACTACGGCTTTTCACAGGTTAATTTGGACATGCCATTTCGTTACAACATGTCCCATACGTTTCT